GTTGACTTCGGTTGACTTTGACTTGACCGGAAATTGACGGTTGTCACAATAAAAATCAATGTAAGGGTACATTCGAACATTTTTGAAAAACTTAAGGGTAAACCTGAACATTTTTGAAAATTCAAGGGCTTTACTGGCATTAGGTAACCGGTAAGTTACCTGGAAACCGGCTATAAGGGTAAAAATGAACAAATTAAACAAAACTTCAGGTTTTACTGGACCTAAAACACATCCAAGGGTAAAACCGACATTTTTGTGAAAACTTAAGGGTTTTTATGTCATTTCCCATCATACCTTGTCTATAGGTGGCACACCTTTTTCCTAAATGGCACATCCAACATTTCTAAGTGGCATATCTACTCTTAAAGTGACACATCTTCATGATGACACATCCATGCTCTAAGATGCTCCATTCCTTTCCCAGGTGCTCCATACTCCATTTAAGATGATCAATTCCTTTGTCACATGAACCATTTCCTTCTCAGATGACCTGTTCCTTTGTCATATGCTTAGTTCTGAGTGCTCCTTGAAAATGCTCAGGTCACATTTAACAGTTCTTATTATTATTATTTTTAATTTTCATTTCATATGTTGATTGATATAGTTCTTATCACTTGGCGGCCAGGGAGTGTATATTTTTTATATCTTCAAAGATCTTTCTGTGAGGTTGTGTGTATCGTTTTTACATATTCAAATCTTCTTGTGATGTTATTAAGATATTGTAGACCATTCATATAAGTTCTTTTGGGAAGGAAGCTTGAAAAACATAAACAAACTTGGGATGCATAAAATAACGGTTTAAATGGCTAGGAGAAAGTGGGTTTGGAATTAGAACACTAACCACATATAACTTATCACATATTTGTATAATTGGTTGTGGTATTTTTTTTGCAGAAGATTTATCAATGTATATAGCAATTTGGATTACTGCAACATTCCTTTCAATTTTTTTTTTCTAGAATTACTGGTTTGAGAAGTAATATGATGTGCTAAATAGATTATTGTGGAATGAATTCACTATTTCATAATCTTTTTAAAGGTTGTTTGGTAATTTGTAGATAGAGTCCGAATGCATAATTAGTCAGCAAATTTGTATGATAGATGAGAGATTAGTTTTAATGATAATTGGAGACAAGATCCATAAAGAAGTTGAGAGGAAAATTAGTGCATGTGATGCAGAAGTTTGGTCGGTTGATTTTGAAGGCTATGTGCTAAAAGTAACTATGTCCCTAAAATTTTGGATTATTTTCGGATAGCAATGGATTAACAAATTAAACATACGTATCAATAGATCACTCACGGATTTGCCACCGATTAATAAGAGATTAGCAATGGATAAGTGGCAATTTAACAACGGGTAAGTGACATGTTATCGAAAAATTAAATTTCTAGCCCGTGGGCTTGTGGGTCGCATATTCGGCACCTCCTTAAGACCGGTCCTGGTCATGTCTCAAAACTTATTAACTTTTTCTAACATCTTGTACAACCTAATAAATTTATTGTTAAAAAAATAGGATAACTATATTACATTTTATTAAATATCAATTGTTACATGAAAGAATTTTCTTTAGTTATACTTTTCAGTTTATAACATGTCTTGCGCCTGCTTGAATGATTTTCATAATCGTCACTTATTCAATTCTTTTCATGGATGGATAAATAACTTGATAATTTTCAAGAATAGGACATGTTAACTAAATGAAATTAAATGCGAAAAAATGACAAGCAACCCAAAGACTTGATGAAATATTGCAAAGCCATCAGAGCCATCAAGGTCAAAGCCCAAATTTGAATTATATTAAAGTTTCGTCGCTGGTCCCTCCCAAGTCCATCGCTAAAAGCAATTAATTAGGTAGAGATTGATGATTCCGTCGTTGAAGACCTGTTAATAGTAGTCTCTAGTACAAGTTGTTCTCATTATTAATATTCATGTCTTTTTCAAAAATTACGAATACCAAATATTGCTCCAGCAATTCAGCTATTTAAGAACTTAAGTGCTCATTTAACGAGTGTATCATCTATGTCTACAATGGAAATCTATCTCATCACTTCCATAGCCCTTGCCACTGTAATCTTCTTTCTTTTTAAGTTTATTGCAACCCGTAAGACACCCAAGAGAAACCTCCCTCCTGAGCCATGGGGACTTCCCATCATCGGACACATGCATCATTTGAATGGTACGTACGATTGTTTCTCCCCGCATGTACACACATAACTTCCACTCATGCAGCACGTTATTCTGTTTGTTTATGACTAAAAAAATACACATCTTCTGACAAACTTATATAGGTACGTTGTCACATCGTGGTATTACAAACTTAGCCAGGAAGTATAGTACTTTTTTGCATCTACGATTTGGCGAGGTCTCCACAATCGTGGTGTCCCCCCCAAAATTGGCGTAGGAGGTTTTGACAGCTTATGATTTGACGTTTGCCGATAGGCCCCATAATTTAACTGCTGAAATTGTTGTATATCACAGCACAGATATCATCTTTTCTCCCTATGGTGAGTACTGGAGGCAATTGCGTAGGCTTTGCACCATGGAGCTCTTGAGTGCCAAGAAAGTGAAGTCTTTTCCGTCTCTTCGTGAGGAGGAGTCATGGTATCTTGTTCAAGATATTCGATCATCAGGGTCAGAGAGACCGATCAATCTCTCATACATCATTTTCATTCGGTGTAACTATATATATATCGTTGGATGAAATACTACAGGATGTGTTTGGAGCTGGTGCGGACACGTCAGCTGCTACAATTGAATGGGCTCTTTCAGAAGTGATAAGAAGTCCCAGAGTACTGGAGAAACTACAAACTGAATTGAGGCAAGTGCTAAATGGAAAAGAAAAGATCCAAGAAGAAGATATTCAAGATCTCAGCTACTTAAACCAAGTAATCAAAGAAACATTAAGGTTACACCCTCCGATACCCTTAGTTATGCCAAGAGAGGCTAGGGAGACATGTGTTTTGGCTGGGTACGATATTCCAAAGAAAACCAAACTTATTATCAATGTCTTTGCAATAAACAGGGACCCAGAATACTGGAATGATCCTGAAAGTTTTATACCAGAGAGGTTTGAAAACAATCCCACTAATATCCTCGGTGAAGACTATGAGTATCTACCATTTGGGGCTGGGAGAAGAATGTGACCTGGAATTGGCCTAGGTTTAGCCAATATTAGGCTCCCTCTCGCTAATATACTTTATAACTTCAACTGGAAACTTCCCGATGGGGAAAAGAATGAAGATTTAGATATGTCGGAGTGCTTCGGCGCTGCTGTTCATAGAAAATCTGGGTTAATTTTAGTACCAAGCTTTTAATACTATTGTCAAAATCAAGTATTTCTGTAGATGCCTTGGATTATGAAATTGCAAAACTTATTTTAACCATTGTTTTGTCTTCTTAGTAGGTATACTGTGTAGTTAAAATGGATAATGATAATTACATATTTTCCAACACACGGTTCCTTTCTTTTTGCCGGGTGAAGTAGAAAACGATCTTTTATCTTCAAATGCAACATTTTTGTATCCTTTTTAATATTTATTTTGTTATTTATTTTTATATAGATTGTGTGTTGTGTTTGTTATGGTTTGGTGCATGAGGTTTTATTGTGTGTATTTTATGTGTTTGAGTGGGGCTAATAAAGTGGTAAAAGTAAGAAACATGCGGGTTATATCCGACCCAAATTCAAATGGTTGATCCGGTTTTTTGTGTAGATGTATAAATGATACTTTGGGTGGAAACTGTAGATACATACACACACATTCTTCTTCATACATATATTTCTCTCTCTCTCGTTAGTAGGGTTAGATGTTCTTGAGTTTTACTTTCTGATCTTTGTTCGTCGAGTTGAGAGCAGGTTAGATGAGTGGTTTGTAGTGAGGTTCCTTGCAGAGAGCACAATTTATTGTAGTGAGGTTCAGTTGTAAGTTTTCTTGAAAACCAACTGGTTCTTAATCAATAAGAGCTGTTGATGTTGTGCAATCTTGTGTGTTCATGTGTTTGTGTTTCTTTTGATGGTACCAAAGTCGAGTTACGATGATTTGTGATATGTTTTCGTCTAGATTAGGTTAGGGTTTTCAGATCAAGTTAGGGTTTCAGGTCTTGTGTGAGGATCTAGTTCTGGTTCTTTCGTATTTTTTCCTCCTGGGTTTCCTTGGATCTGTTATCAGATTTAGGGTTTGGTTCTTTGATCTGTTATCAAATCTAGAGATTGGTGGTCACCAACCTAGTTGTTCTCTTGTCACACACTTGAAAGTAAACGATTGGGTTAGTAGTAAACAATTAGGGTTAACTTTTTGTTAATCCTAATGGTCAACACTATCACATCGGTCAACGTTAAGCGTGTGCAAACAAGGTTTTAAAATCAGGTTGGTTCTTGCATTTGAATGCCGTTTCATGCTTATCGGTGAATCTGATATTTAGATTCATCAGAAATACGTTGCTGCTTGCTTTGCTTTTTATTTGTGGATCTCTGTAAGTCTCACATGCTTTTTTTGCTGTATTTCTTTTGGTGTTTTTGATAAAGAATATACTCTACAACTCTCGTTTAGACTTCGTCGGCTAATTTTGACTTTATTTTTGTTATTATATTTTTAAGAGGCCGGGACTGGAAAAGTCCGTTAAAAATTCATAAGTTCTTCATCCGACGTCCGTTTTTGTATGTCTTTTTACCGTTGTACTTCTATTGTCGAGATCTTCGATTCTCATTTAGGTTGCGTCGGCTAACAGTCGCTCGATCTCTATTTCGAGTTTTTAGTTGTCTACTGTTATATCTGAAATTTAGAAAAATCATAACTTCCTCATACGAAGTCAGATTTGAACGTTCTTTTTATGTACGTTTACGGTTTAATGATATCTACGACTTTCATTTAGATACCTAAGGATAAAAATCATTTTATTGAAATTTTGCGTTTTATGCTTAACAAAATTTTTACCGGTTTGTTGCGGATCTTCGATTGGTCACAACTTCTTCGTTATAACTCGGATTTTAGTGTTCTTTATATTTTTGAAAACCTTGTTACGATATCTACCACTTAGTACATCCAAATTGATATTTTTGAACATTTCATTTTTGATGCTATTCTTATTATTTCAAAAATAGGTTACAATACTTGACTTTAGATTTACATCATCCCGCCGTTAGCGAGAATTTCGTCCTGAAATGATTTATAGAATAAGTATTTATGGACCAGGGAAGAGATGCGGGTACTTTTGTTGCATATGATCTCCTCGCTCCCAAGTGAAATCAGGTCTCCGCTTGGCATTCCAGCGAACCTTCACTATTTGTATGCGTGTTTGCTTTGTTCGTTTTATTTCCCTATCCATGATTTCAACGGGTTCTTCCATAAAGTTGAGGCTCTCGTTGATTTCGATCTTGTCGAGTGGGATAACAAAAGTCTCATCTGACGACCACCTTCTGAGTTAGATACCTGGAAGGTAGGGTGTATGTTATTGGATTTTCGAGGTAGTCGGGGTCTATAAGTTACTGGATCAACTCTAGCAAGAATCTCAAATGATCTTACGTACCTTGATTTAGCATTCCAAGCTTTCCGAAGCGTATTCTACCCCTCCGGATGAGACCTTTACTTGACGAGGTCACCAACCTAGAATTTCTAAGGGTTTTCCCCTATAGACGACATTAGTTTTTCTGCCTGACCCCGAGAGCTTCACGTCGCTCCTAAATCTGTACTTTCTTCTCGGTAGTTTCTCGAATGAATTCTGGACCAGCGAAAGTGTTGCCTAGAAATTGGACCTTTAGGTAGTTGTGTGACGCCTACTGTAATCCAATGCAGGGAGGATATGTACTTGCGACCAAAGCGGGCTTCGAATGGAGCAACTTTAAGTTCTAGCATGGTCAAGGACTCGACTAGTTGATAAGTGGGTATTCTTTTGTTCGTCTAAAGTCTATCACATATGTTCTTCGCACAATTCCTAATGATTGAACCGTTCTCTCATTCTGTCTATTGGTTTTGAAGATGGTAGGCTATGCATCATGATTGGCCTAGTTTCTAACAATTTCTGATGTGACTGCCTGAACTGGGAGACAATTCTACTAATTTCCTGATATTGGAACACCGTGTAGTCTAACTAATTTCCCGAACTCACGTCCTAGTTAACTTCTCTATTTTGCTTGATTCCTTAAGATTGTAGGAAGGGTGCAAATTTGGCTGATTTGTCAACGATCATTCAAAATGGAAATCAAGTCCACTTGTTGCCTCGGTTAACTTGATTATGAAGCTCCTTGTAATCTACCACAACTTCCTCTCAGGTATCTCCAACTGTTTGTAGTGAGCCTGCGGGATTTTGCTCTAAAGTTCATGATAAGAATCATACTTATTTCATCCACCATCACCTCGTGTATACAAGTCGTATATAATTTATATTGACAAAATGTTCGGATGGGTGGTTCTGCCCCAAGTCCACAACCAGACAAGGAATAGGAGATAGGGCAGAATCACACATCCTATATCTTGTTAAGTCTAAATTATATACCACTCTTGCGTATACACTTAGCAACGATTGATTAACCTAATGAGGTCTTAGTCTCTATTCTTAAACTTGGCCTGCGATACGAGTGGTCTTTCTAGGAGATTTACTAGGTATACTTCAGGTGGTTACTGACTTCTGAGACTTCTTTGATGTTTTTCGCTTAGAGGTTATTAGATACCGTGTAGGTTAGAAAGGCGTAGTACTCCTCGCATGGGTACTTATGAAGTTCTGAAGTGAGAGGTGATATAAGGGTTGGCGTTATGGATCGGAAGAACTTCATCTGACGGTTTCTTTAAGGGAAGAGTTCTTTTTACACAGAATAGAAATTTCGCATGGGTAGGACTAAACCAAAATATGTCGGATGATGATGTCGGGACTTCTTGAAGAATCAGATATTATGATGATTGGAAGCAGAAATGATGGCTAGGACGATGTACTAAACTTGGTATGATTACTATAAACCCTATTTCGTCAAAAAATAATAATAACCGCTAAACGAGGGTTCTGGTAAATTGGAAACAATGAACTTTCAAGAAATGACTCCTACTAGGTCTCTCTATAACTGTTCAGTGTACACCAGTCAAATATAATCAAATAATGGGGTTTGGATACGTACCAACATGATAGCAGGGTTCTTTGATGCTTCCTCATATTCTGAGGTCAAACACCTCCTGATCCCTCGCTATTCTTATCGGTTGGACAATCCATTTTGAAATGTCCTATTTCACCACAAAGGTGGCATATTGGACTGATTCCAACATTGGTGGTCGAAGTAATGTGCCGGATCAGGACTCTGGAGAAATGGGTAGTGTGCACGTTCCTGTTGCAGTTCTTGCAATAAATCTCTCGGAAGGCTCCCAAGTGATGGAAGCTGCACTCATTGCACTTGGGTAGATTCCCAACATACTTCATTGCTGGGGTACTAGTAGAAACGACAATAGGAGTTACCGATGTCGTGGTCGTAGAGGCTGCCACTGGTTGGTGTCTCTTGGCTAACTTTTGAGGTGATTTTCCCTTCTTCTTATCCCACAACATTCGTTCTTGTTCTTCCTTTGGAGGTTTGGAGTGTATTTTCGAGTAGGCACTCATTGTTGTACTTGGTTATCACCTGGATTGGAATTGTCAATAGAAAATCCACTACCAATTGTGTTGTTAGTGTTAATATGAGTCATGATAGCTGTAACAGCAGCTGTGACCGCAGCTTGAAAAGTAGCCGTATTTATATGAAGGATTGGTATTTTGCTGGCAGATTGGTTACATTTCTTTGGAGGCATAATGTTGTTACATGATAAGGAAATGAATTTGTGAGCATTTATGGTTGGTTCTAGATGTATTCTAATCATTTACGTGAATGTAACTTTCCATTTTGTTATACTGTTCTCGACAATTCGATCTACATCCGTATGATGCAGTCCTGGTAAGGTGGAGAAGGAAGTTCCTAGAATGGTCACAAGGCGGGTGTCATTTGACTATAAACTTATGAATTTTGAGAAATAATCACTTTAAATTGAGATTCATGATCCGATTTATAGTAGTTAGTTATTACTGAAAGACTATAATCTTAGAACCGAATTCGAGTAGTGTAAACACCAGATCACTAAGTTGCATTAGTTATTACATTGATGCGAATGGCACTTTAACACATCGCATGGACACT